CTTCCAACTTCTCCAGCAGCGTCCAAGTCCCAGTCCCCAAGGCCTCCTCAAGCTAAGGGAAAAAGGCAGAGCACGAACCGACGGCTGGATGCAGCAGGCAGCCGAATTCCGACGGGAAAGACAGAACCAAATAGACACGGGAAGTGGTGACGTCTCCGTGTCTTGAGGTCTTGAAATCCAGACTGGAAACCAGGCTTTAGTCCAACCCGAGTTTTAAGGCTAAATACGGGGAAGCTGGGTCAAACCGAGCCGCTCACGATACCTTGGAGATCAAACCAGACGACCTAGTGGCTCCAAGTGGCTGTTGCCTCTGCACATCCTCGTTAAATTAATTCCGTTCTAGCCCAGGGGTGCGGAATGAAACGAGGTCTTGAAATCCAGACTGGAAACCAGGCTTTAGTCCAACCCGAGTTTTAAGGCTAAATACGGGGAAGCTGGGTCAAACCGAGCCGCTCACGATACCTTGGAGATCAAACCAGACGACCTAGTGGCTCCAAGTGGCTGTTGCCTCTGCACATCCTCGTTAAATTAATTCCGTTCTAGCCCAGGGGTGCGGAATGAAACGACGACGGTTCACCAGGGCGAGCCTCTGGCAAGCTCCCAAACCGCTACTTGCACCGCCACAAGTACGGCCAATCGCAGCTCCCATTGGCCAGGAACGGCGATCCGTGGCCAATACGACGGCGAGGAGACCGACCAGATCCAGCCCGGTATTTCCCCACCCCCGTTAGTCTTTGAGGCTCACCGGTCCGTACGGGGGTCAAGCAGAAGCAATGCGGCCCAGGGAGCTAGGCCCGCGAACGCCTGAGCTCCGTGAGGGGTATCTGCGCGAGGCACGACACAGCGGTGGCATCACCCGACCCACCGACCTACAAACCGTTACAGCTGTGAGCAGAGGCGCCGTTGGCGGATTTCTAATTGTTACGAGCAATTATCAGGGTCATAAACCGCTTCTCCCTAAAAACGCAGGTCAGAGTCTGAACCTGCTGTTGGCCGAGCGACAGGCAGGTCGGTCACGTCAGCGTGCGGGCACTGGCTGAGTCTCCGGGTTTCACCCAACGGACAGGGTCTTCCCACGGGGCCCTGCCACGTTTTCGGGCATTTTGCACTTGGCTGGATGCAGCATTCAAAGGTTGTGGCGTTACAGACAAATGGAGAAATGCCACTGACTGGAGGGGGAGCCAAGGGGGCCCAGAGATTCAAAGGCACCCCAGCTCTAACCACTAGACTCCCCTTCCCAGAACTGGAGAAAGCCCCGGCTCCACACGGGCAGCAGACACACGGCCACGGCCCTGGTCCCCCAAAGAACAAAGAGAACTCGTTCCAATCAGCCAATCAATCTCATTACAATAACTCCACCGCCATCCGCTTCAATCGCATTTCGAGGCGCTCCACACGGGCAGCAGACACACGGCCACGGCCCTGGTCCCCCAAAGAACAAAGAGAACTCGTTCCAATCAGCCAATCAATCTCATTACAATAACTCCACCGCCATCCGCTTCAATCGCATTTCGAGGCGCGCAGCGGCCCAGGCCCTGCCGGGACGAGATCGCCTGCGGTCGGCCGCTATTGGTCCCTGCCTCACTATCGACTTCGGGGCA